CTACAAGCATGCTTAGTGTGAGGGATTGCTGAAGAGTCAATGAGTCGATGCAATCAACTGGTTTTCCTTAGATAGAAAACTTTGAATCAGTTTGACTGGATGATCTGGTGAACTGTAAAGTGCCTTGAGATGTCTTGTGTTGTGAATTGGCGCTATATAAATAAACAGATTTTTTTTTTAAATGACTTAAATTGTATTATTGTGTATAAAAGATCATTAAATCAGTGTCAGTTAACTCTGTCAACTAGGTTGCCTGTAGGGATTTCATTGTCCAGCAGGTGTCAGTATTCAGTGAAACAGTATCAATAGAGTTTGGTAACGTGTTAAAACGCTTCATGATGCCTCATCAACCATCACTAGTCCAAACTTTAATGTTTATTTAATTGAACTTAAACATTATTTCAGTACTATTAAACCCTCTTCTCACCAAAAGGCACAAAAACCCTTTCAATCTGTTCCCAACTAAATATCCTGGACAATTTATCGATGTAGAGGACATGTGTATTTGTAAAATATATGTATGTATATATGTTTATATACATACGTATATATGACATTGCTAAACAAATATGTTTGTAAGTTTGTTTGTCTTTCCTCCTTACTGTACTTGTTTATTATGTTTATATCATTATACCCTCTGGCATATGTATTTGTTTATCTGTATGTTGTATATATTATTGTTGACTTTAAGTGAAATAAAAAATAAAACAAAATCAACCCATCACTAGTTACAGGTATTTAGAGATGGTCTAAACTGGAGAAGGGATTAGATCAAATTCAGCTTGAAGCAAAAACAATCTTGTGCTGGTTTGATATCAGCCTGTATTTCAGTTTTACTTCAGGTACTTCAAAAAAAAAATGAATATAAATAAAACTTAGATTTCTTAATTTAAAAAAAAAAAAAATTTTCTAAACATTTGACCGGAAACTGTGTTTTCGTCAGCGGAAGCAGTGTTTTCGTCACCGGAAGCTGAGCTGTCAGCTTTGTTTTGGCAGCTGCTGGTCACGTGACGCCTTGTCGTCAGATGTAGAGCAGCAACATGGCGGAGCTGCTAAAGGTAAGAAAACATGAAACGAAAACATGGGTTTCAGCAGCCAACCAAGCCTGGGGTTCGGCCTCAGACTGGGCCGGGCTCCGTGGGGCCATTCGGGCTAAACCTCAGGCCGTTAACCGCCGTGTTAGCGGCTAGGATATCCGTGGCAGGAGGAAGCAGCTGAGGGGAGGAGGCAAACTGTCAGCAGACAGACCGTTCTAGTCGGAGCTGCACTCCGAACCGGTTTCCTACCAGACTGGTCCGGCCCTTCGGGTGTCGGAAAGTCGCGGGACGCGTAAAGTCCGACCGGGGAGTGACGCCCAGAAACAGAGCTGCTGCCCAGGCTTCAGGCCGAGGCTCCCCTCCCAGGGCTGCTAGCAAAGTTCCCAGATATACATCAGATAACATGAGCCAGCCTGGCTAAAATGAAAGTAAAAATC